GTTCAGGCAATTCTCCTGCCTCAGCCTCCTGAGTAGCTGGGATTACAAGCACGCGCCACCATGCCCAGATAATTTTTTTTTGTATTTTTAGTAGAGACGGGGTTTCACCATGTTGACCAGGATGGTCTCGATCTCTTGACCTCGTGATCCACCCGCCTCGGCCTCCCAAAGTGCTGGGATTACAGGCTTGAGCCACCGCGCCCGGCCAGCCTGGGTTTTGTTTTTTTTTTTTTTTAAAGATGGGGTTTCACCATGATGGCCAGGCTGTTCTTGAACTCTTGACCTCAGGTGATCCACTCACCTCGGCCTCCCAAAGTGCTAGGGATTACAGGCGTGAGCAACAGCGCCCGGCCAATTTTTTTTTTTTTTTTTTTTGAGATGGAGTTTCACTCTTGCTGCCCAGGCTGGAGTGCAATGGCACGATCTCACCGCATTGCAAACCTCTGCCTCCTGGGTTCAAGCAATTTTCCTGCCTCAGCCTCCTGACTAGATGGGATTACCGGTATGTGTCACCACTCCTGGCTAATTTTGTATTTTTAGTAGAGATGGGGTTTTTCCATGTTGGTCAGGCTGGTTTTGAATTCCTCACCTCATGATCTGCCCGCTTCAGCCTCCCAAAGTGCTGGGATTACAGGCATGGGCCACTGTGCCCAGCCTGAGATGGAATTTTGCTCATTGCCCAGGCTGAAGTGCAATGGTGCCATCTCTGCTCACTGCAAACCTCTGCCTCCCGGGTTTAAATGATTCTCCTGCCCCAGCCTCCCAAGTAGTTGGTATTAGGTGCATGCCACCATGCCCAGCATTTTTTTATGAGTAGAACAACGGGGTTTCACCATGTTGGCCAGGATGGTGTTGATCTTCTGACCTCAGGTGATGCTCCCGGCCTCGGCCTCCCAAAGTGCTGGGATTAAAGGTGTTAGCCACTGTGCCTGGCCTTGTTCTTTGAGACTGTCTCACTCTGTTGCCCAGGATGTTCTGTGGTGCAACCTTGGCTCACTGCAACCCCAACAGCCCAGGCCCAAGTGATCCACCCACCTCGGCTTCCAGAGTAGCTGGGATTTCCAGGAAATGTGCCACCATACCCAGCTAATTCTTTTTTGTCAAGATGGGGTTTTGCCATATTGCCCAGGCTCATCTCAAGCTATCTGCCCACCTCAGCCTCCCAAAGTGCTGGGATTACTGATGTGAGCTACTGTACCTGCCTTTTATAATGCCATAGTTTAATGGCTATGCCAATGAATCACTGATTTCCAAAACTCAGACACAATTTTTAAGGAAACAGAAGAGTTAAATGTTTTTCCCCATAAAGCTAAGACCTACACATAATACACTATACATACCTATTATCACACTTCCCATCTATCAAGTTTTCGTCTGTGTCCCCCAGCCTAGCTTGGGAGCTGAGCACAGCAATCGTATGAAATATTTAATCTTTGTATCACCAGCACTTTAACTGCCTCCAACACAGGTCCGGTGTATCTGACATTAAGAAGTGCTGGAAATACAAAGTGTCTCTATGTTACGGCAAATACAGAAGCTGTGAGGGAATGAAAACTGCCAAAATGCAGAAGTTCAAAGATTTAGAGGAGGACAACACATTTAGTTTTATTTCAATCAAATCACAACACTTTCTTTTCCAACTGCTGCAAAGTGTATCTACAATATTCTATTACAGATCCACTTTAAAAAGGTTTCCTGTGACATTACAGCAAGCCTCTTTTTTCAAACAGAGGAATAATCCCAAATTCTTCCTCAAAAATAACTCCATTCCATTAAATACATAAAAATTACAGTAAGCCAGACACTTAAAAGGACAGCCAAGAAGTCTTCCAACAGTTTATTAGAAAGAATGTAGACATTTAAAAAAATCCCCACTGTCATGAACATAAATTGAGGTTTTCAGCCCTTGTATAAGCTGAATAAAAAAAAAGAAATAAAAAATCCAATAGTGTATTAAACATTTTTTTTCACTCATTTGCCATACTGACAGTGCAAATACAAATCTGGTCTAAATGTACAGACTTTCAAGCAACAATGTACAGCTTTCTTCGTCCTCCATGCTAAGAGATGTAAAAGCTTAAGGGTCAAACAATACCAAATGTATAGGCTTCAAAAACCATCTAAGTTAGGGCATTCTCTAGTTTTAGCTAAGATACACCTGGAACATTGACAAGTGATCACTTACATAGAATAATGTGAAGTACATTTTTTTTTTTTTTTTTTTGAAAAATAAACTTTAGTGGAACAATCCTGAAGGGTAACGCTAGAGGAAGAGCAAGTTACCACCAGTAAGGTGTCAGCCAATTTGTTCCAGCCACTTCTGAATCCATGTTCTATACTCTAGTTTTATTTCCCTAAGCTTCCTATCATGTCAGTATCTATGTTATGAAGAAAAGGAGACTTAGGCGAAATGTTTTTATCATTACTGCTGCATCAATTGCCTAGGACCTCAACAGCTTCATGAAAGTCTGGGAAATGTTCATGCATAAGGTTATTGCCTTAGCTGACTTAAAATTGCCCCATACAATGGTACATATCAACCCTTAGTGAAGCCTTTTAAAAAACAAACAGGTTGAAAAATGGGTTAAAGTAGGCAAATACAGCATCTGCCTTTAGAGCTATCAACTCAGGAATTCTCTCAATTATGAAATCTTGCAGAGAAGTTATTTCTCAAAATCCAGGTGATGACAATATTCCTTACTCCAGATCTGGCATTTCTGAAAGAATTTAAGAAATATTAGTATCAAGTACAAGGGAAGTAATCTACCCATTTTAATGCCTTAAAGGAAAAGCAACCAAAAATCAAAAATATATCGTTTCCCAGTGAATAGGTAGGTGGTCTTGCTATCTCAAGTAATTCACATTTCTGCTTTGGTTATTTATTCAAGGTCATAAAGAAAAAATTACTTTTCTTCCAAAGTTAACATCACTTTTTTGAGTTTGGTTTTTAATGCAAAATATCACTGTGTAAACATACTTTTTATATACACTTACTTTCATCATCACTGTCTTGTGAATCCTGTAAGAGGGAAAATTTAAAAAAGTTACCGAGCTGACCAAATATTCCTTTGCTAACTGAACAGTTTACCTTAAATGCAAGTGCTGTATTTTTGACTAAAGTAGCACGGATAGGTAGGTACATCAAGCATAGAAATTTAGTCACTGGACTTAAGACTAGGTTTACCTAAGGTGAACAGATGTACAGCAGAGGATCTATCTACCTGTTAAAAACTGGTGTGTGCCTTTTGGAGACATTCAGCCCACCCTCTGAATCCCTCCCTAAAGTCTATCTTGGCATTCAAAGAGAAAACATGGCTCAATATGAAGAACAATGGACTGACAGAAGACAGTGAACTCTAATCCTCACTGTTGAGTGAATTATTACGTATTTTTCTAAACTGCATTAAAAAACTTTCTGGGAGCTGTTAAAATGCTGGTGTTGGGAAGATGTTGAAAAAAGTAGTTTAATATGTCATCCTCTTTCAGATTTACAATGTCCATTTGTTTAACTGGTCTCTGACTAATCCTGACATAAAACCTATTTAATTTGCTTTCTTAGTCAAAATAATCCCTATAAACTGATTCTTTTTCTTTTTGAGACTGTTGCCCAGGCTGGAGTGCAATGGTGTGATCTTGGCTCACTGCAACCTCCATCTCCTGGGTTCAAGGATTCTCCTAACCTTATCCTCTCCAGCAGCTAGGATTACAGGCATCTGCCATCATGCCTGGCTAATTTCTGTAGAGATGGTTTCATCACGTTGGCCAGGCTGGTCTTGAACTCCTGACCTCAACTGATTTGCCCACCTCAGCCTCCCAAAGTGCTGGAATTACAAGCATGAGCCACTGTATCCAGCCTAAATTGACTCTTATAATTCAGTAAGTTATTAACATATAATGTCTCTATGCAATGATTCTTTTGAAATCTGATCCATTTAGGAATGGTCTACAGAACAACCAGTTCCCTAGTAGATACCCATTCCTCAAAAATGGGCAGATTTTAAAAACTGCTTTTCCCTTTTTAATTTTTTTTTTTTTTTTACATAATAAGAAGTAATCCTGAATCTCTATAAAACCACCTGTAAATATGTTTCTTACTATTTAATAGTATTTAAAAGTAAACAGAAAAAAAAAACTTTTAGACTTACATCATCTGCTCCATCTACTTCTGGTAAATCTACATCCTCATCACCACCCATGTTGTTCATCATCTATTTGAAGTGTAAAAATTAGTTTAAAAAATGATGTTGTTACGTTAGGCCCTAATTATTAGGCTGCATGCTTCAGAATAAACCTTAAGTCTGTCACAGATATCCACAAATGAAAAATGCAAAATAAATGTAAGCATTTTCCCTTCTGGAAAAGGTAGATTATAAGTAAATACACAAAATCCTAAAAACCTGTATGGAAATTAATACTAAATTTTCCCTAAAAAAAAAAAAAATCAAGCTACTCTTGCAGCAAGTATCAATGGATGACAGACACTAAAAATTCTACTTTAGTAGTTACCTCTGGTGGTTAAAGAATGGGATTCATCTGTAGTTGCAAAGCTTTCTATTTGAGGTAGAATGTGTATTATGGTATTCTTTGCTTTTGTTCCCGAGATGAAATTTTGCTCTTGTTGCCCAGGCTGGAGTGCAATCGTGCGATCACAGCTCACTGCAACCTCCGTCTCCAGGTTCGAGATTCTCCTGCCTCAGCCTTCGGAGTAACTGGGCATGCATCACCATGCCTAGCTAATTTTGTATTTTTAGTAGAGACAAGGTCTCTCCATGTTGGTCAGGCTGGTCTCAAACTCCTGACCTCAGGTGATCCACCCACCTTGGCCTCCCAAAATGCTGGGATTACAGCAATGAGACACCGTGCCCAGCACTTTTTTTTTTTCTTTTTTTTTTTTTTGGATACAGTCTTGCTCTGTCATCCACGCTGGAGGTGGTGGGGTGATCTTGGTTCACTGCAACCTCTGCCTTTGCATTCAAGCAATTCTCATGCCTCAGCCTCCTGGGTAGCTGCGATTACAGGCATGCACCACCACACCAAGCTAATTTTTCTGTATTTAGTAGAGACAGGGTTTCACCATTTTGGCCAGGCTGGTCTCGAATTCCTGGGCTATAGTGATCCACCAGGCTCGGCTTCTCAAAGTGCTGAGATTACAGGCACGAGCCACCATACTTGGCCTTTTTTATTTTGAGACAGAGTCCTGCTCTGTTGCCCAGGCCGGAGTGCAGCGGCACAATCTCGGCTCACTGCAACTTCCACTTCCTGGGTTCAAATGATTCTCCTGCCTCAACTTTCTGGGTAGCTGGGATTACAGGCACACGCCACCATGCCCAGCTAATTTTTCTATCTTCAGTAAAGAAAGGGTTTCACCATATTGGCCAGGCTGGTCTCAAACTCCTGGCCTCAAGTGATCTGCCTGCCTTGACCTCCCAAATTGCTGGGATTATAGGAGTGAGCCACCACGCCAGGCCTGGTATTCTCATTATGGTTTTAGATATTGTGAAGAACCAATACATGATTTAAACCTAATTCCCATGTTTAAAACATTTTTGTAATGTTTAAATAAATAAACAAAAAAAATTCACATATGCATGGAAAAAAAAAAACAGACTTCAAAAATATATGAGTACCCAGATTTTAGAGCTGGAAGGGACCTTAAAAAGATAGTCAAACATTCAGTTAGGAGGGTGGGGAAAAAAAAAAAAGATAGTCAAACATACAATGGAACGTGTTCAGTCTAAAACTAAGAGTTATTCATCCTTAAAAAAAGAAAATCTGCATTATCTGACAAAACACAATGAAGAACCTGGAGCACATCATGCTATGTGAAATAAGCCAGTCACAGGACAAATAATGCATGATTCCACTTGTATGAGATACTTAAAATAGTTAAGACACATAGAAAGAGTAGAATGGTTGCTGCCAGGAGTTTGAGGGAAGGAAAAATGCAGAGTTGCTGTTATATAGGTATGAAATTCCAGTTACACAATATGCAGTTTCAGAGACCTACTGCAGAGCATTATGCCTACAGCTAACAATACTTTATCATGCACTTAAAAATCTGTTAAGAGGGCAGATTTCATGTGAAATGTTCTAACCTCAATTAATTAAACACACACAAAAGGATTCAGTATAAAAATTCTAGGGGCCGGGCACGGTGGCTCAAGCCTGTAATCCCAGCACTGTGGGAGGCTGAGGCGGGTGGATCACGAGGTCAAGAGATCGAGACCATCCTGGTCAACATGGTGAAACCCTGTCTCTACTAAAAATACAAAACATTAGCTGGGCATGGTGGCGCGTGCCTGTAATCCCAGCTACTCAGGAGGCTGAGGCAGGAGAATTGCCTGAACCCAGGAGGCGGAGGTTGCGGTGAGCCGAGATCGCGCCATTGCACTCCAGCCTGGGCAACAAGAGCAAAACTCTGTCTCAAAAAAAAAAAAAAAATTCTGGGCTGGCTCACACCTGTAATCCCAGCACTTTGGGAGGCCAAGGTGGACAGATCATGAGGTCAGGAGATCAAGACCATCCTGGCCAACATAGGCAAACTCTGTCTTTACTAAAAATAAAAAAAAAACAGCTGGGCATGGTGACATGCACCTATAATCTGAGCTACTAGGGAGGCTAAGGAAGGAGAGTCATTTGAACCTGGGAGGCGGACACTGCAATGAGCCAAGATTGCACCACTGCACTCCAGCCTGGAGACAGAGCGAGACTCTGTCTCAAAATTAATAATAATTCTGGATAATCTATCTTGAATGAAATGAGTAACTGGGAAAAAGTTTCCTTACCTCCAAAAGCACTACTGAATACTTTTTAAAGTTTCTTTGGGCAGGAAAAATGCTAAATGTACGAAGCACAATGCTATGTGCTTAAGATACACCACCAGGAGAAAATCGAACATATTTCAAGAGCTACTTAGAGGTAACAACAAAAACAACAACAAAGATAGCACAAGTAAAAAAACAGCGTTACAAGGCTGGGGGCAGTGGCTCATGCCTGTAATCCCAGCACTTTGGGAAGCTGAGGCGGGAGGGTAGCTTGAGCTCAAGAGTTCAAGACCTGCCTAAGCAACACAGTGGCTTGCACCAACTGCTACAGGTAAGGAAAGTGCAATTATTAAAAAAAAAAAAAAAAAAAAAAATCACATAAATAGAACATCCTCCCTTCCTGTTGAAATCACCATGCCAGAGTCATGTGTGGAGAATTGTTCAATAAGCAATTACATACATAAAGCTGGAAACTTAGCTCCTTTTATTTAATTCTTAGGTCTCAAAACACAAAATCTAGTTAATGAAAAAGTTCAAATAGCAACAAGAAAGGAATTGCATGAGTATGTATTCAACTTACACCCTTAATGTTCTTTTTGTACTTAGCTTTATTCTACTACATTTGATAAAGTCTATTCTGCCTACATGGAGATCATTTATTCTTTGCCCATGGCAACATGTTATTTGGGTGACATCTTAGAAGACACTTTTTTTTTTTTTTTTTGAGACAAGAGTTTCGCTCTTGTTGCCCAGGCTGGAGTGCAATG